CAAAACATTCACAGTCAGCAAGGCTTAGCAAACAATGTTTCAGAGGAATGTTTATCCACACGCACCTTATCTCATTTGGAGCGCTTCCATATAGCTAGTTTCCAAATGCAGGGCGAAGCAAAACTTGGCACAGAGCCTCTTAAAGTCACACACAGAACTTACCACTCTTAAACCCACTGAAGGAACAAATTGTTTCCTGCAAAAGCCCCCTCCCCATTTGCTCCTCTTTTGTTTCCTATGGGAGGGGCCAATCACCTCCAAGGTGTGGCTTTGACCCTGCTTTCTTAGTTGTTCTTGTCTTGTGGCAGCTCTGCGCATGCACACACTGGGAACAGGCTCCAGCTGTTCCTCTGCCTCACTGCTGTCTAGCCCCCTCCTTGCCTCCAATGCAGAGCCCTCGTCAGAGCCTCCGCCAGACTCCAGGATTGGCCCATGTCCCTCCCCAACCTCAACTCTGAACCTTCTTCCAGCTTCTTCCAGAAGATGTAGGCGAAGAGCAGGCAGACCTGGTGGCGGAGTTAAGTGAGTTATCAGCTTAGAATCCTTACGTTCCCACAAACGGTCCAGATCTAATCCCTCCGGAATTCCTGTCGATCCTTATCTGGTGCCAATTTAGTGTTGGACTAGACTCTTATCTTTTGGCTTGAATGAATCTTTGATGCTGCAACGTAACGGATGGTCCTGATCCTTCGTGTTTGGCTTGACAAAAGAGCTTTCACAGGGTCAGAGAGTGGACGATGCTCTTTGGAACAAAGTGTTCTGGAGCAGGGGTCACCAACTGGTGGTCCGTGAAAAGTTTTTGGTGATCCGCAGAAAAATTATTTGCATTTTTCATACTGCACTCAATCAGGGGTCCTCAAACTACATTCCCTTGGGCCGGATACATGGAATGAACATTTGTGTTGCTGCAGAGAGTCTCCCCCCTTCGGGGTCTTTTTGTGTGGGTCAGAGGGGGGCAGAAATTCTGACTTGGGTTCTGCTTCAGCCTCCTGGTGAGGGGTTTTGGGCGAAGGCTGGAGGGAAGAGCCACTGGTGGCAAAGAGCTGGAGGGCCTCGTTCCAGTGGGACTGCATCATGGCCTAGAACTGGCTGACTATCTCAGCCCACTGAGCCTCCAGGCACCCATACCTGGCCTTGCCCTCCTGGGGTCTTCCCTCTGCTTGGAAAGCCTATGCTCCTAGTCCTCAGTGAGGTGCTTCTCCTGAGCCTCTTTCTCGGTCAGATCCAATTAGAACTGAGCTGTTTTGCCAACTCTTTCTCCTGGCGGCTGCTTCGCTCCAGGAATTGCCTCCTGTTGGGGCCTTAAGGAGTTTGGGCAGGCAGTCGAGGAGGGGCTGGGAGGGGAGGGGCAAGTAGAGGCCAGCGAGGTGCCCCTCAACGTGAGTGACATTGAGTTGGCCACGCCCAACCAGTCACATGACCACCTAGCCACGCCCACCCACCCATTCATTAGGCAGATCCGCGGGATTTAAAATTATGAATTTAGTGGTTCCTGAGGTCCGAAAGGTTGGTGACCCTTGTTCTGGAGAATACTTTGGCTGGCCAAAATGGCAGAGAATATTCAGTGTTCAGTACGGTCTTCTGTTTGGGTGTGTGTAGAAAGAGGGACAAGCATCATCTTTGACCCAAGAAAGCTCCAGACGTTGTTGAAAACAGACCGCCCAGAGACCAGAGAGAGAGAGAGAAAGAGGGAGAGGGAGAGAGGGAGGGAGGGAGGGAGAGAGAGAGAGAGAGATGGGGAGAAAAGAGCCTGTGAGGATCTTGTAGAGATGCCACATTTTAGAAGATTCACTTCTTGGAATTAGTTTTTAAAACCTGGTATCGGAGGAGTGGAGCTTCGGGCTGAAGCAGATGAAATCTGTCCTCGGTGGGAAGAACCTGTCTGGTCTTCCACTTTTTTTCAGCAGTCGGAAGGAGATACTGTAAATAGATAGACAGAAGTTCCTGCTTTTCCCACCCCACCCCATCCCTCCTTCCCTCTTCAACTTTCCCCTAGTCCTCAGTAGAAATCTCATCCCTGAGCCAAAACAAGCAGAAGGAATGTTTCTGAGGTGCTCCTCCTCCTCCTCCTCCTCCTCCT